CATACAAAAACATATTTTAAAAAATAGTGCACCATGACCGAGTGGGGTTCATTCCAGAGATGCAAGGTTGGTTCAATATATGGAAATCAATATATATAATTCATCACACCAATAGACTTGAAGACACAAATCATATGATTGTATCATTTGATGCAGAGAAAGCATTTGGCAAAATACAGCACCCTATTAAGTTCAAAACACTAAAAAAACTGGGGATAATAGGAACATACCTCAACAATGTAAAAATTATCTGTGCTAAACTCAAGCCAACATCACTCTAAATGGAAAAAAAAATTGGAAGTATTCTCTCTAAAAACTGGAACAAGACAGTGATGCCCTCTTTCACAACTTGTATTTAACATAGTCCTTCAAACTCTAGCCAGAGCAATTAGACAAACAAAAAATTTAAAGGGATACAAATAGGATAAAAAGAACTCAAACTGTCACTGTTTGCTGAAGACACGATTCTATACTTAGAGGATCAAAAAAACTCCACGAGAAAACTTCTAGAATTAAAACTTAATTCAACAAAATAGCAAGATATAAACTCAATACACATAAATCCAATGCATTCCTATATGTCAGTGATGAATCCTCTGAAAAGAAATTAGGAAAACTATTCCATTCATAATAGCCTCAAAAACTGTAAAATACTTGGGAATCAACTTACCAAAAGAGATGAAAGACCTCTGCAATGAAAGCTACAGAACACTAAAGAAAGAAATTTAAGACCTTAGAAGATGGAAAGGTATCTCATGCTCTTGGATAGGCAGAATCAATATTTTCAAAATGGTCATACTACCAAAAGTGTTATACAGATTCAATGTGATTCCAATTAAAATCCCATCATCATTCCCTGTAGAAATAGAAAAAGCAATCATGAAATTTATTTGGAAAAATAAGAAACCAGAATAACCAAATTAATTCTTGGCAAGAACAGTAAATCAGAAGGCATCACAATACCAGACCTCAAACTATACTACAAAGCTATAGTAACAAAATCAGCATGATATTGGCACCAAAATAGACATGCAGACCAATAGTACAGAATAGAAGGCACAAAGACAAACCCACATAAATACAGTTACCTCATACTAGACAAAGGCACCAAAAAAAATGCATTGGAGAAAAGATAGACTCTTCAACAAATGGTCCTGGGAGAACTGGAAATCCATATTTTCAGCAAAATGAAATTAAACTCTTCTCTCTCACCATGCACAAAACTCAACTCAAAGTAGATCAAGGATCTAGGAATTAGACCAGAGACCCTGCGCTTAATAGAAGAAAAAGTAGGCCCAAATCTTCATCAAGTCAGATTAGGCTACAGCTTCCTTAACAAGACTCCTAAAGCACAATAAATATAATCAAGAATTAATAAATGGGATGGACTCGAACTAAAAAGCTTCTTCTTAGCAAAAGAAACAATGAGTTGAAGAGAGAGCCTACATTCTGGGAGCAAATTTTTTTGCCATACCCACGTCAGACAGAGCACTAATTTCTAGGATATATATAAAGAACTCAAAAAACTTAACACCAAAAAAAAAAACAACCCATTCAACAAATGGGCTAAGAGCTGACCAGACACTTCTCAGAAGAAGATATACTTTCAACCAACAAATATATGAAAAAATATTCAACATCTCTAGTAATTAGAGATATGCAAATCAAAACGACTCCACCATTTCATCTCACACCATTCAGAATGGCAGTAATCAAGAATACAAATAACAATAATTGTTGGCTAGGATGTGGGGGAAAAGGCACACTGGTACAAATTGGTGCAACCAATCTGGAAAGCTGTATGGACATTCCTTAGAAAACTTGTAATGGAACCAGCATTTGAGCCAGCTATCCCACTTTTTGGTCTATACCAAAGAACTTAAAAACAGTATACTACAGTAACTGAGCCACTTTAATGTTCACAGCAGTTCAATTCACAATAGTTAAACTGTGGAGCCAATCTAGATGCCTTTCAGTGGATGAATGGAGATAGAAACTCTGGTGTATATACACAATGGAATATTACTCAGTATTAAAAGAGAATAAATTTATGGCATTTGCAGGTAAATGGATGGAGTTGGAGAATTTTATGCTAAGTGAAGTAAGCCAATCCCCCAAAAAACAAAAGCCAAATGTTTTCTCTGATAAGTGGATGCTGATCTATATTGTTGGGGCATGGGGAAGATAGAGGAACTTTAACTGGGCAAAGGGGAGGGAGAGTTTGGGAGAGAACATGGGGGCAGGAATGATGGTGAAATAAGATGAACATCGTTTCGTAGGTACAAGTACATCTGCATTTATGGTGAGACGATACCTCATGTACAACCAGAGAAATAAAAATTTGTGCAATTCTGTACAATAGATGAAAATGCATTCTGCTGTCATATATACCTAATTATAATTAATTAATCAATTAATTAATTAATTTAAAAACAAAGTTTTTTTTTCAAATCATATTAGTAACATTTATATTGGGATTTTTTGATGATGATGTTTTATTTTTTCTACATTTTTTATTGGTGCATTATATTTGTACGTAATGATGGGATTTATTGTTACATATTATTACATATAGATAATACACAATATAATTTGGCCAATATCATTCTCAGGCACTTCTCTCCCTTCCCACCTCTCACTCCTCTTCCTTTTGCTCTACTGATAGCCATTTGATTTTCCTAAGATCTGCTCCCACCTTTTTAATTTTTTTTTTGCATTTTTCTCTTTAGCTTCCACGCAAGGGAAGCTATGACCTTTGACCTTCTGAGTTTGACTTATTTTGTTTAGCATAATCATCTCTAGTTCCATCAATTTTCCTGCAAAATACATAATTTCTTTTTATAGCTGAATAAAACTATATTTTGTACATATGCCACATTTTATTTGTTCATCCATCCATTGATGAATATCTACACGTTCCATAGTTTGACTGTTGTGAATTGTCCTACTATAAACGTGGTATGCTGCATCACTTTAATATAATTTTGATTATTTACAAGAAATTGGTATTGGTGATAGGGTGGATCCATGCTTAGTCTTTGGAGGAACCTCCATGCTGATTTCTGTAATGGTTATACTAATTTGCAATCTACATGGGGATATTTTTGACAAGACAAATATTTGCACAATAGCATGCACTTCTTTTTTTCCTTTCTGCTAATTGGATCATATCTTGAATAATTTGAGTATCAACTTCACCCTCACAACAACTAAAAAGAAACTCAAAGTTGAAGACCCTAAAGTGTATACAGTCTAAGTAATTTAGATTTCTGATCATAATCTATTTGACATGCCAGAAGAACAAAGCATTGATGTGATAGCAAGAGAAAGTATTTGAGACAAATGGCCTAAGCTAGTTCATTTATCCTTTTCCCCCTCCTCTTAATATTGCTGGAACTCTAATATTAGGAATATTCCTTTAATGTGTCTTCCTCTTCCTCCCACAGCTAGGAAATTAGGATAGGAGTTAGGGATTTTGGAAATTCTACTAATGATTGTAGTTTAAGAAAATCTTTCTCCAAGTCAGGTTTGACACATAATGTGAGATAATTCCCTAGATGATTTGAATGCTGTGTGACAATAAAAAATAAAATAAAAATTAAACAAAATTCTGCTTCCCAAACATGTTTTTATAAGTTATATGACCTAGGGTTCATAGCATCCTTTAAGATGTTAAAAATGTTGCCCTATTATTTCCTCTACAAAAAGCAAATTGTCCTTTGAAAAGAGTAGCTGACACTGTTTAAGGAGTACACAATATTGGAAAGAGTAGCTGACACTCTTTAAGGAGTACACAATACTCTATTATTAGACATATTATTTAAATTTATGAAATTAAATATTAAAAGTTCTCTAACTTTAAATTTAGAATTATACTTTTCTTTACATATCAAATAGCTTGAGTTCATGGGATTTTGTGCATAAGGATAAAAGACACTTGATGCCATATAAGAGTATACCTTTTACCCACTGAATTATTTTTATTTTTAATTTTAAAATAATCCTTTAATTCTCAATTCTATATTAAATTTTCCACCATTAATTTATCAAGGTTTATTTGTTTTATTTAACTGATACATTAAAAACATAAAAATTGTACACATTAATGGGGCAATATGTTTCCATCCATGTACAGATTGTATAATGTTGAAATTAGGTTAAACTTATCTATTTCCACAAACATTTATCATTTCTTTATGGTGAAATCTTTCAGTCCATTTCTTCTAGCTTTTTGAAATACATATTTCATTACTGTTATTTATAATCAACCTGCTCTACACTAACACACCAGAACTTCTTGCTCCAAACTGACTACAACCTTGTACCAATTATCAACTTTTCTCTCTCCTTTCCTCTGATACTACTTTTGAAGCCTCAAATAATTATTACCCACTTATATTTTAAAATAGTTTAAAATATAAAATATTTTCACATATACCCACTACTCTTGTTGAATATTGCCACTGAGTTTGAGGGATATATATCATATTGCTACTTTTAAAAATATTTAGTAACAACACTATCTATTAAGAAAATATACTTTCTTATACTATGCTCTATCTAATCACTTTTAGTAATTCAATTCCTCTTACACATATATTCAAATTTTGGTTATTATGTATAATAATATTCATTGAATAAATATCATTTTAATTAGTACAGGCTTTTTAGGAGCTATTATTGTCATTGTCACATTATTTTTAAGTTATATTATTTATTTATTTCCCTCAGTCTTGATCAATGTTTTTTATCTTCAGTCTTCTCTGTATAGATTATGTTTTGTTGTGACATTTTATGGTTATTTGTATGGTAGATAAAATTGAAAACTGAAAAATATTTTTATACCTTTTCTTTCTCTTCTACATTTTATTTCAACTTCTAATATATTGAAAATTCATTCAAGGACCATGGAGTAAAATTTTCAGTCATAAAATATATAACTCAAAGTTTTTACTTATTTAACTTTTATTTTACTACTATATTGATTATATATTATGCTTATTTCTGTTTAATTGAATATCAGTGTCAGAAAAAAAGTCTCCTGATTTGAGTTGTCTATTTTTATTCTTCTTCTAATTTATAAAATATGTCTTCAGAAAAGTTTCAGTCAAGAAATAGAAGCAATGTAATTCATGGATCCTCAGCTCTTTGAGATTATCTGCAGTCACATTACTATAGAAATAAGACTTTCACTTTATATTTAATTATACCCCTGGAATAAAAAAATTAGTCAATTACCTTGAGAGTTCAGAATTTTTCAAGAGAAAGCTAAAAATCAACAATTTCCCTACTAAATCTGTAATGCTTTTCATTTGCTTAAGGTTAGATGCATGTAAAATTATTTTCATTTTCTTTTAAAATCTAAACAGTTGTCAGCCTATATCTAAATAATATTTTGACTTACTTATTTTCCCAATTGATATTAATGTTAAAATGCAAAAACCTTTTTATATCATGAAATTTTTTTTGTCAATCATGATTTTTAGTACTGCTTATCTTCATTTTATTTTGATTTCTTCTTCAAGGATGTCAGTTTTCACAAAATGGAGTCCTTTATTCCCATGATCCTCTTCTTAATATATTATTACCTTTACTCCTGTTATTTTTAATTCTCTGTCTTACATATTTAGGTCGTGAAATAACTTAATTTTAAGTAAGATCATTTGCTTCAAAGGTGGAATTGAGTTTTATTGAATGTCTTTTTATTGTTTCTATTGCCACCCAAACTGTGTATAATATTAAATAGCTTGATCCTTCCCTGTGAAGATCTTTTCTTCCATTGAATTTGAAGGTCAAAGGACATGAGAATCTATTTTCTATAAGTTCTTGTGTTACCTGAAACATACACAAACATGGAAATTTCTTTACCTTTCTAGATAATACTCTGATTCCTAGTACAACAGAAATATTCATAAATAACTCATTTTATAAAATTTATTTACATTCATATTTTTGAAAAAAAATCTAAATCCAACATATTTCTATAGAATACACAATACTTCTCATACTTCTAGTCCCTTTATCCTTCTCTCTTTTTCTCTCTGTCACTCCTTTTCCTCTTTCTCTTTTCCCTTAGTGAACCTCAGTCAAATGTAAAATCAAATTCCTCCTTAGTCACTCACCAGTTTTAGCTTCCTGTTTCCTAATTTAAGCAATGAAGATATTGCCACTTTCCATCTTGTGGTATTAGTGTGACAATGACAACAGAATGTAAGTGACTGGAATACAGTTTTTAGAAAAATAAATAGTAAGTTGATAACATGAAGAATTAAAATCAGCTTACATAGCAATATGAATAGCACTACTATTACTAAAATATCTGTCTTCTATACTAGGGTGTTAATCTTCATATAGACATATGAAGAAAATGGTAAATAGGGTAAAAGGCCAAAGTAGCTAACACTGTTTCACTCAGATATAACTTATGTTAGTGGGAATTTGGAGACAAATCCATGTATCTGCTCAGTGATCGTTTGATATCTTAGCCAATAAGTTAAAAAAAATTTTATTCTTGCCTATTTAGGGGTAGGCTTAATTGCTTAGCATAATTCAGAATATTATTTATATACCAAATCATGTTAATGCTGCAACTAGTGAACATTCATAGAACACTTTAATGTCTGATATTCTCTTTCCACATCTTTCCAGAACTTTAGCCAATTTTTGTTCTTTAATTTGACTCCATGGGTTTTTAATGTGCAGGCTTTTGAATATTACTAATCTACTGACATGTTAACAAGAAATTTTCATTCTGAATTTTAATCTTGTTTACCTCTTTCAAGGTTAGTACAGTTGTCTCTACAACATAGGCAGAATTTGGATGTGTGGGAAACTAAGATTTTAATACAGTTGGTTAGTATGTGCCAACATATTGTTTGCTTAAAATTCTCATGTCATATAAAACATTTTGTAGAGTTGAAAATATTTTTCTATGGTTTTGACTATGAACAACTAATATGGCAAAGTATTCAATATTTAAAAGAAAAATACTTTGGAATTGTTTTTTTTTTTTTTTGCAATGTCTACACTGGGCAACACCATCATATTTAATAGTATATCCATTCGAATTATAGTTTATAGATTGAGCTTTCCTAATAATGAAGTAATGCCACAATTTCCATAGTATGATCACTCAAGATGGCTTTTTACATACTTCAAATGAAGTTTTGCGTTGAGTTTTATTACTTGCAGTTAAAATCTTATGCATTTGTCATCATTGCAATTTTCATTCCATTAAATTAAATATCCACATTAAAATAATTTATATTATGACTAAATATCTCAAGAAGGAAAGGACAATGGGATATGATAGAAGATGTCTCCTCTTTTGCTTCTTCCTATTAGTGAATCACAGCGGTAATTATTCAGACGGGAATTTAAGATAAATTGTAGCAAGTCTATTCATTAAATTTTTTTAAAAGATAATTAGCAGAAATCTGTCAGCTTTATGAGAGGTTTGCTTGGCCACTGTGAATTCAAGATGATAATGACATCGAAATGAAATACTTACTTTTGTAGGACATAAAAGATTAAAGGTGATATAACCAAGTTTAATTGACTAGCTCTTGTCACAGAATCTTGAGTGAATAATGGTGTTAGTTCTGAAATAGTGTCCGATTGTCCTATATAATAAGAGTCGGGAAGACTGATGTGTGCGCTAGAAGAAAATCAGAATTTCTACTTCTGATATGAAGAGTAATCATTCAGTAAAATTTAATATTTTGGTTCTAGGCTTCTGTCTCCATGCATAAGAATATGAGACATTGAAGAAAGGTGGCTTCAAAGGTAAAAACTCTAATCTTAAATATCTATCAAAAATAACAATATGAGCTTATGGTCAATTTCTTAGGAAAAATAACCAACGAAAACAGATTCATCTTCTGATCAGTATTTACATTGGTAGGAGACAACATGGGTCCTAACCCAGGACAATAGGAAGTGCACAACACCATTCATAACTTAAATTTGAACAAAAGGGGAAGTGACTTCTAAATTCTTACGTTCATTAGTGTATCCCCACATCTGGAATATCTGACATATAGTAGACACATAAATTACTTGAATGAATGGTTGATTGAGTGATTGAGTGTAGTCAGAGGGCACTGTTGAAACTATAAAATAAAATGATTTCTTTTTGTCATTGATTCCTTAATCCAAGTCAAAGCATTTTACATTAACCGAATGAAAAACTTTGATATATAAATAGAAGCCCTAAATAGGGTTTTTGTAATTGATGAATTCTCAAGTATTTATATTTTGTCTTTAGACCTGGTCTTAATTATCTCAATGAATTGGATAGGGCTTAATATTTTAACCACAATGTTTTGTCATTATTACTATTTAACATATTGCAGTGTTACAGATATATTTTATTTACATCTTCTTCTCTCCATCAGGGAATCTCATATTGGTGTCCTTAGAGAAGGCTAATTGCCCCCAAAGCATTCCCTCTTTCAGTGTTTTGTTGAATTTGAATTAAGATTCCCTATAGTAAATTGCAAAGTTGTTCAAAATTGACTCCAGGCATCGTAAGAACCCTAAAGCTTCCAAGGGACTTGGTAAAATCTAAAAACTCAATATCTCCTGAAGGAAAACCACATGTCAGACATATTATTCTGTGTTATTGAGGTTTTGTTCTAATTCAATTTGAAATCAGAAAGAAAGTGTCATAACCCAAAGGGCTGAGGTTATTTTTCTCTGATATTAATCCTAAGGACAAAAACAAAAATTAAGATGATGGGTACAATTCCACATTATATAACAAAAATAATATTTGCATTTTATTTACAATACATATTGTATTAATATATGATTCTGGTCACATTTGCACACGGTGTTCATCTTTGATTTCTGTTGCTAGAACGATGACACAACTAAAACTATTTTTGAATTAAAAGATCAAATTTTATAGAATTGCTATAGCCTTATTTTTGTTTTCATGATTAATGAAATTAATTTTGATAATGATAATTATATTTTCAAAGACTAAAGTCAATATTTCAGTTTTCTGTGAATATCATGATGGTTTTTCTGTCCTTTTGTTTATTGCCTTAACATAAAAATACAAATTTCTGTTATTTACGTGAAACAACACAAAAATATATTTTAGTCGATCTTTTTCTGGCATAGGTCTTACAGGCTATAATGTTATATGCTGCATTGTAGTCAAGGAGAGTGGAAAGCCAGAAGAGGGTAAAAACATTTCATTTGATTACGAATTAATAAGTACAAGAAGCAGGAGGTGGACTGCGGCAGGTCTAATTAGCCATGTCATGGATAATGGAAAACCCAATCTAATCTTTTAGTTCCTCAATCTTGTTAACCTGTCCTGCTCTCAACTCTGATCTTTGGGTCTGGAATGATTATATTTTATTCTTGTTTTTGGCCAGTAGCCTTTTAAATTCCTTCCCTGACCAAGCAATGAAACCTCGGTTTTCTTTCTATTCTGATAGAATTCTCTATCACATCTCATTATTGGCAGGTTTGGCATTTCTTATTTGTCATCTGTTCTCCCTGCTAGACTAAAGAGTTTGCAAGGGAAGGGTCCATTAGCACTAAGTATCTGGAATGCAGTCATTAAAATATTTTCTCAAAGAATTAAAGAAAGTCCAACACTTTCGCTATATGCTACATGTTCTTTTAAGTCTAATGACCATAGACATTACATAATTGTTTATTTTCTTAGAACTGTGATAGATTAGAAGGCTTTCAGTCTGTTTAGTTGTTGTTGTTTTGTTGTGTTCTAAGGCCAGGTCCACATGCTAGTCACATCAATTCTCAAAAATGTATCTTGAATGATTTCATAAATTATAAAAATAGATGGATAAATAACTGAAAAGAGGTTGACCAGGACTTGATAATGAGACATCAATGCAGGAACTCAGGATAAATTTTGAACTAGAGTTATGTCACGCTTACTAAAAACTATTGCTTGTGATGGTGTGTACAAGTCCTGATGGTTTTCAAATTTATTGTACTTACAAATTTTAATAAGGCAGATCAATTGCCTATTGACTCTATGATATATACTAATAGCGTTTCCCTTTTCTGCTACCTTACATTTGGTCAAATACAAGTCAAGTGTGTTTCTGAGTGGGTCTATTAGAGTGCACAGTACAAACTTCGGTGGAGAAAGGAAACCCAAATGAAGTCTACGGTGTTCTCATTAGGCTTGTTGCCTGATTTCCATTAGGCCTGTTGCCTCTGTCTCATTAGGCCCACTGCCTGGTGTTCATGAGTCTCAATGCCTAAGCTTCATTAGGCCTATTGCCTGACTTTTATTAGGTACATTACCTGATTCTTATTAGGCCTGATGCCTGATTTCTTTGGAACCCCAGCACATGGGGGCCAGTGCTTATTGTCATGGCTGGTCCACTGGTTGTTGCCATCTTTAAAAAAAAAAAAAAAAATCCATGATAATGTGAACTAATAAGATCCCCATGCCTGGTGGGAGGGACACATGAAGAGATTTTTACAACAAAAGTATTTTTGAAACTTAGACTTCCCCTGTACTACCCCCCATCCATTATAATTCATTAGCTCTTTGGGGTTTGAAGTTGATATAAAATTTTCTTTTTCAATAGAGTCACCAGATGAAGCACCCTTGCAACAGAATGAGTAAATAAAAGGAAAATATCATTAATTTGAATTCATCTGAATTGGAACAAAAGTAATTTAAATGATGCTATTAGGTTAATGAAATATTTTATTTTCTGTTACATTTATTTACTATACATTGAGAAATCAGTGATCTTTGTCAAAATGTCTCTTTTGTAGCTACAAAGGATAATAAATTTACTGTCCTTAATTTATTCCCATTAAAACTGGACTGATAGAGTTAAGTCATTTCAATTAAAATTCAATGCAAACCAGAAAATAGCATATTATACAATAAACTTTTTTTGTTTTTCTTTCATATAAGTCTATATAAATTACACATATAGGAGCCAGAATTAAAATAGTTTTTCATTTCATGTAAGGCAACTCTGTACATTCTCAGATTAAGTATAATATTGCACATTTAAACATTAAGGATCTTTATTCTTTTAAAATCATAAGATGACATAGTTTCTTCAAGCTATATATATCAAACAATAAAGTTGGAATACTTTTTATCATGTTACTATACATCTCTTTCAAAAATAAATGGATTTATGTTATTAAGTTCTGGGTGTTACTAATGTTAAAGCTTACATAAATAATATTTATAAGCATAGAAAATGTCTTGAATTTGAAAGCATATTTTCAAATTTTTTGAAGTTATTGAATTGTAGTAAAATTAGATAATGATGTTCCAAACTTGAAAGTTGTCCATTTGAAAAATATTGTCATTCATTCTTATGAAGAGTACATTAAGATTTTTTTGGTGACATTCTACTTTTTATGAAATTTTATATATTCAAAGAATAAAATGCTATCCATTTACTTTGAATTGGGCACAATAAATAAATGAAGTTACAGATTGTGTTTATAAGTCAGAAAGAAGACATTGCATAGTTTTGATTCAGGATCAACAATTAGTCCTAAATTCCTGCCTGACACACATTTGAATCATATTCTAAGCAACACGGTGAGATATCATTGCTAATTATCAGTGTCATTCAGCATTGTCACAGATAGTCTGAGGAGGGAGTGTATTAAGATGGAATAGGATATTTGCCTCAACAAATCCGGAGACTCAATCCCTATTCAAAGACCCATGTCTCACACTCTCTGCCAAATCTGCTCTAGACCTTGAGAGCTTTGATCTTAAATTTGTCACTTTATTAATCACTTGCATGTGGGAAGCTGACAGCCAATAACATTCTGTCTTGACAGTAGTGTTTAGATGAACTATTCATTAAACATTTGGCCCAGGAATTATGACAGACACCTCGGTTTGAAAGACATATTTTGACGAGAAGTTTTGTTGGATGGTTTCATGCGTCACCAGTGTCCACATGTCCTGACTCATTCCTTGTCAAAACATCAGCTTGCCAACACATCATCATAGGCTTCTCTGGATTAAATCATATTTAAGCACTTTAGAAAAATAAGCACACTTCCTAAAAATTCTTCTGAGGAAAAAAAATGCTAAATATGGGAGTAATCACCTACTGACATTGACTTTAACACATTGAACTGCACAGTGTACACTTCATGGTCCAGTTGATTTAAAAAATGCAGTCGCGAATAATTAGACATCTATCCATTTATAAAAAAATTGAAAGGGACCAAACTATATTCTTAAAAAAAAGATACTTTTCATTAAGTAGGCAATTGTTATTAGTCACACTTGCTTTTAGAAAAATCTCTCTTGAAACTCTATCAGGGTTTCTGTTTTATTTTGTGATTCTCTAATATTGTAGCAGATAAAATTTGTTTTTGTGCTATTTAGTCTTTGACATCAAAATAATTTGATAGAGAAAATTCTGAAGATCAATATTAAGAAAAGTGCCTCTCACTACATACTAATTGTATAAGTAAAGTGCTTGTTAACATCAACCACCACTGTTTCTAGGAAGACTTCTTTTTCATTAGTTCAGTCGTGTGTTTTTGAATATTTGTCAAGCACCATACTCAGTGAAGTTGTTGGTAGGGCCAAAAAAATTCTGTGTGCCATTCAGCTATCAAAATCAAAGTCAAATCAACTGATTGAAATGCCAATTGGCAGAATGGGGCTACAGGGTGGCCCCTCTATATGGATATAGTTAGGTGTAATTGATTGAGAGGAACGTTATTCTCTTTTAATCAAATGTAGCTAATCTAGTACATGATAATCTCACAATGGCTTCTTACTTGTTTGACTCTTAGGGAATTTTCGCAGTGTAAACATAAAGATCTGCAACATTTTTAAAATTAAGAAGAGAAGAGCAAAGAAATCTCAAGATTCATGTACCTGGATAGACTTCCAGAGATTGGAGGTAGATTGAATCTCTAACAAAAGTGTTCTCTTTACTCTGCTCAACACATGGAAGTGGAACTTGAATCTTATATTAAGATTATGCTCATATGGCTTTGAAAATGGGATGGTTTCACAGTTGTTGCTGTTGGAAAACTTTGAAACATTAATTGAAGCAAGTAATCCTATTATGATTTTCAAAGTGTCAAATTTTATATATTGAATAAATAAAAAACAGAGGGTCCATTCCCTCCAACTCCTTCCCAAAATTCTGAATTTTCATTTCTTGGAACATATCTCAGGCTTTCTTATCTTTCATATTTCAAATTTTCCTATCAGTACTTCTTTTTTCCTATTATGATTGTGACCACACCTCTCATCAAGCATGTTTGGAGCATTTCCCCTACTGTGGCTTGGTCATTGTTATCTCCAACTCACCACTAGACAGTGTTTCCTAGTTACAAGATGCAACTATACTGTACCCTTCAACACACTGCTACACTTCTATCACCAGTGCATAAAGAAAACTACATTCAAGCTCTTTCTGTTTAAAGTTCATAAAACCATAGGAATATTCTGAAGGAAAAAAATTAAGCAAATTTAACACAAACTCATCTCTTTTTAAAATTACTTTTACTGAAATCTTTTTTTTTCTTCTTTCTTAAATAATAGTTAATAACTTTGCCATCAACACATCCTATCGCCAAAAATTTTCATTATATTCATAATTTCACTGTTGTTTTAGAATATCTCTTGTTATCTTACAAGGAGGTGCTTTGTCAGTTTAACCCATTAGTGAGTTAAAAACATCATTTTCAACATTTTATGCTCCCGTGTTTATCTTCTTGATCTTTGCTTAATTTCTGCTGCTTGTACATTCTCAACAATCTATTGGTGGTTTTACATGAGCTGTTGGCAACTCTGATTCACACTCTCTTCTTAACTTTCTGAATAATTCTCAAATTCCCTTTTCAATTTCTTCCAGAATTGTTTGGAAATGTTGTCCAAAGTTGTAGAATAGGCACAATATCATTCAACAATAACCCAAACTTCAAAACAAATATTTATTGTTCATTGTGCCAGGTCTTATGATAGATGCTATGTGAATGATAAATAATGTAGAAATGCTGTCTCTGCAGTGAGGGAACTCTACATTTTTCTAGAAATGGAAGTCACCCTTGGTAGGCACTCCTGAAAATCATATATATATTCTATGTATTTGCATGTTAAAATAATTTTTTTGTCTGCTGGGGATTGAACCCAAGACTTCTCTCATGCTAAACATGTGCTCTACCACCAAGCAACACCGCCAGCCCCCAAAAGTAGTGCTTATTGATGACCATTAGTTTTTTACTAATGTGAAATTGTATGTAGTGAGAGAGTCCTTTATACTGAAAGAAATTTCATAAAATGTTAACCTTATAATATGAGTCTTTGTATCCATGAGGCATTCCTGCATATCGCTGGCCAACAAGAACATTCTTCAGGCCATCAAAGTCTAAGGGGTGCTAGTCATTAGGAAAAAAAAAATTGGTGTTCTAAATACCAGAAGAATGGATTACATCAGGGATAGTGCATTAGATAGTTGGACTAGTTAAAATTGAGTTTATGTAAGAAGTGGAAGTGTGATTATGATAAATTTAAACTTAGAATTTACCAAATACTTTAAGGGTTTATAAAATTATATATATATATGGTCTTCATGTACTTTTCTTCATAATGGGTGCATTGATCTTCCTACATTTTCTAATTCTGCACACAATCATGTTATTCTGAAGTCATTTTAACTAACTCATGTTCATCCCTATTAAAACTAGGCACTGCCCTGTTCATAACTATAAGTCATTGAGGTTTAAACATGGCTCTATAAAGACTTAATTTATGATGTTCAAAATAATCATTGAAAGCTCTTCACTGTAGTTGGTTTAAGTTACAACTTTAATATTGTCTTGTGAGTGTGCTTTTTTTTTTTGTTTTTTATTCAAAGAAAAAAATGCAAGAAAAATATGTCATTGAGATTGATTGTAATGGCCAGCTGTTATGATCTCAATGGAAGTATTAGAGCCCCCGCCTAAGGTGCATTGAAGAGTGCCAAGCCTCATAGCAACTCAGCTCATCCTAAAAAGCACCATGGCCTGGAGTGAAAGCTGCAATTTAAAAATCTCCCAGGGACCCATTATTTGCAAATCATTGACACAACAAACTGTAACGACCCTGGTCCTCCTTGTCAATGCATGCTCAGGGAGCTTTTCATCCACAGAACCTTGCATGCTCGATAACTTTTCATACTAAAAATCCTTATGAAATTTCTGAAGAAAATGAACAACTGCGCATGGGCTGGAATCCACTTTAAATGTTAGAAAGAAAATTAAAATTGATTAGACTGGTGATGGTATCCTATGTGGAAAAGAATCCTCACAAGTCTAAAGTAAGTTTTCATGTTTCCATATTGCTTAAAATAAAGCCAAGTGGTTATTCAATTTCCAAGCAATAAAAAGGCATCTGAAA